AAGTGGGCAGCCGTGCCAGTGTGCGTTGGCTGAACACGTATTAATAAGTAAGTTTAAGTCCACTTGAAGAAGCTCAACAGCTGAAATGTTGCTTTTCCTCTCTCTACTTTTCAGTGTGGAATTAACCTTTGCCTGTTTCTTACAGTAGACTGCTTCTCACAGCTGTTTTAGTGCCTCACTAAAATAATAAGCTTGGCTGCAGCAAAATAAACTGAAAGATTTATGTTTTGTTATGGATTCCGGCTGTTTTGTATTCCTTATGTAAGGCATGCTTCTCGCAGAAAGATGCAGAGAATGTGAAGAAAGGAGAGGTTTGATCCAGCTTGCAACATCCAGTTAATATTGATGCCCCGGGGGCGCATCAGGATCTTTTCTTTAAGACCTCCACCATCCTTCCATCTTCAAAACTGGAGCCTCACCCTATAGGTAATGGGCAGAAGGCAGGAAACGCCCAGTGAGGGACAGCGGGCTATTGAGAAGCTTGCTCTTATACGCACACTGAGGCCCGTATTTCCTGTAGAGATGCCATTTAACCGAGACAACATGTCTTAGAAGTGTTGCCAGAAACCACAGCAGCAGATGGCCCCCTATGTGGGAGTCGAACCCGGGATTCGAGAGCTATGAAGCAGCAGTACTAACTGCCATGCCGGTGTACTGCAAAGCTCTCACCGTCCCCTCCTCTATTAAAAGTTCAGAATGGTTTCCATCAGCTCCTCGGGAGAAATTCATTAATTTCATTTTTGCATAATTCATCAAATATTCATAAGATTAAAATCATCAGACATTAATAGTTTCATTTCAGGATCTGTTCATGCATTTTTCATGAAAACCCATGAAATCTTCATAAGCATTTGAGTTTCATGACATATATATAATTCACAACAAATAGTTCATGTCATTGATATGTTCATAATGATTTTGTTTACATAATGTCCTTATACATGATGTCTTACTGAAGGGGCATTGCACAGTACAAATAAAGACGTTTTCATTATATGCAAAATGTATATGCTTTATAATTATGAATTTATTTTAAATTTAGAATAAGAAAGTGCTCTAACCATTTCCGAAAGAACAAAATCACAGACTTTAAAAGATAAAATGAAACGACTATATTACAAAAATTACCATATTCAAATGAGTTCACTATTGTGTTAATCTGTCTGTGTTAATCTGGCTTTTATATATAATATTTTATATATAATATTTCAGAGTTATATTTAGACTGATGCGTTTTCCCAATTGTAATTGTACAACACTGAAGGATGCGTTATTTGGTCTGATCTAGAAGAAGGATATCAGAGTCTAATTTTAGGAAAACACTGGCTGCTCAATCACAACTGTGTGTAATCTGTGAATCAAATATCCCACTCGTTGTGTTTCTTTTCTTCTCATTTCAGCAGGAATAAACCTTTACTTGTTCCTCTATCAAAGTTTTTGCTGATGTGAATACAATAGAATATGGAAAACAACAACTGACTGTGTATGATTTTAAATAAATATCGTATACATCTTTCATAAATGACAGTGAAAAAGTCCATTAAGTTCAGCTTGTGGTAGATTCAGTTTATTGTATAGGCTGTAACGTGTTCAGTTTTCTTCCTTTTAGTTTGGATCTTGTTTGGTAATTTGTGGCCTAGCATACAGTATATGGTGTCAACCGACATGAAATTATTTTGCAATTGTAGCAATTTGGTGTTGTCAGTATTCATAAATGCTGTGGATATTGAAATTTGAAAAATATTGTAGAAAACATTCTCATCTGAATAATAAGAAATGACAGTAACATAGTAGTTGTGTCCACCTCAAATCACACTGTCAGTTTGTTTGGTCTCACTCTCATGCTAAGACATCCTACCCCATGAGACCCCGTGAGACAAACTGCTGACAGAATGGCACAGTGGATCTCAATCTGCTTGTGTACATATTGTATGCTGTCAGTCAACTGCACGTTTTATTGTAGCTGTTGTAACACTGTTTCCCAACCCACCTTTGAACAAACCATGGTACCATCCTTTCTTCCCAGCAAAGGATACAGTGCAGGTACATTCCCATTGAGATGGTTCTATGAAGGCTTAAAAATAAAACAAGAAAATGGATTGGCACCAGTTTTAAAACTGTGAATTCCCTGTTTTCATTGGAAGATAAAGGCAATCTGCATGCATGACTATATTCTGTATGGATAACCTTTACTGTATGTACGTATCATGTTTTTAATATTTGCACACACACACTTACTTTGATGCACTAAAGTCTGGAAAAAGATCGGTAACAGCACCATGTGTCTTTGATGGAAAACTAGCTGATACTGTCAATAGAATATGAAAGCAGAAAAGAGGGACAGATTCAGTCAGGATCCATACTTAAAAAATTAAATTAATCCAACAATGTAATGATCCTAATACTGCATGCAGCACTGCAAGATTAGAAGTGACTACTGCATGTAGTTTTAAATACATGAGTCTACAAACTGCTCGGAAAGGTTTTGCTGCACAATGAGATTTACCTTGCTCTGTGTGAGCCTATTAATACTGCTTTCTGCATGTTCCTGCATTTGTTTTGCAATAACGTAAAGTGACAGGAGGCCTTCTGAAATACAGATTCTAGATGTATTCTAGAAATTGAAAAATAGGTGTAAACACCTCAGACAATTAGGCATATGCTAGATGGAGCTGCTGAAGTAAATGGGAAAGTTCATAGGTGTTTGTGTTTCATTATAAAGGGTGTTATTTTTGTGTCCAACATTCTGTGCTATTAATGAACAAAATGACGGCACTTCATCATATTTTGCAGATCTGACCGCTTCATTTGTTTGTGGCTTGTTCCCTTAGAGCTGTTTTCTGGCACTATTTAAACCCTGTATACAGGTAGTCGGGTATCCTGCTAGATCTATTGCCAGTGAATTGCTGCAAAAATATATTCTGCCTGTACTTTATTAGGATGAATAGGAAAGAGCACAGCATAGAAGTAAAGCATAACATTAAATTGCTTTTCATTCACAGACATACAGAAAAAAGGATTTATGCAGTATTTGTAAAGGTTTACTGTCTTTTTTTGGTTCAGAAAATGGCTTGTTTTCTCAGCACGAGAGGTTGGCAGAAGACCTGCCCAGTCTGGTTTGCAGCTCAGCGCCGTGAGAGCACTGAATAATGAAAGAGACTCTTTTGGCAAACGTTTTAAGCCACATTATTGAATTAACAAAATGTGCTGCGGTGATTCACTACAGAGCAGACCTTTTTAACTGTGATTTCTGGAAAGCCACTGATAATGCCTTCAGTAGGTGCCCTTGAACACATGAGCAGCCACTGTGAATGAAACTGGCCAGCTGGTTTCATTTGGCAGTATTAGAGCTGTAGTGTGGCATTGCTGAATGTTGATCTTACTTTCCATATGATATGGTGTGTACATAACTCAAAATAAAGACAAAAATTAGTACAGTGTTACTGTGCAGTGTCAGTCATTTATTTAATTGGGCCAACTGTATAACTGTCATTCGCTCTCTCTTCTTACACCAGATTACAAGAGGAGATGCATCCAGTTCTGAGTATATGTATTTATCCTGTTATTATGTTTTTAACTGCTTTTCTTCCAAAAACCTATCCAGTTAAGTCAACATAAGCTGTCGAGGAAAGAAATCAGGTCTCTTCACACAGCTACACAGTGGGAGAGTGTGCATGCAGTTTAAAAGTATCTAAATATACTGTGTACCAGTACATGTTTTACTTATTTGAAAACGTTAAAATTTCAGGTACTGATGTCCCATGTGTTAATTTAAATGCACACTGAGTATTTCAAGTATACCTTAATTGCAATTAATTGTTTTTTAATGTATGTGAGATGCTGACGACCAGTGAGAAGTGAGAAGTACCGAGGCCTGTGGAAGCAGGTGAAAAGGCAGCTGAGATTGTGGACAGAAAGTCAGAGCAAGAACTGTGCTGACAAAGCTGTTGTATAGTTATTAGTTTGCTTAACAGTGGTTTCACGGCTGTTCTCTGTTCCATTCTTTTAATATCTCGTCATTGTTTTTTGACTTTCTATTAAAGACAAACAGAAGGATAGTTTTATTATCACAGCGCTAGCCCCAGACATTTTCTAGTGCAAAATGCAAAATGAGGTAGCAATAATGATGCACATTACTAAAGATTGTACTTAGAATATTGTTTAAAAGCTGTATAATGACATTTGATATGAACATTAAAAAAATATAGCCGTGTATGTAAATTTGTATGGGTAAAGTTGTATATAGATGATTACATGAACTCGAGTCGAGTCTGAAAAGAAATTGGAAGAAAATTAGCATGAAGTACAAAATGATACCATATTGAGAGGCTGCTCTAAGTAGAGATATTTTGCATCATTTTCCAGTTGGAATTTAGTGTTCAGCTTTCTCTAGATTGCTCATGGCTTTTTTTGCCCATTTCAAGCATTACATACTACAATACCTGACTGTTATGATCTATTTATAAAGTGCTATCAGCAAATAACTTGAGACCCCTCCCTTCCATGTGACTCTTACTCAGGCATGAAAGTGCCTTTTGTTTCTAAACAATTCTGTATTCTTGGTAACTGGTTTATCACTTTGAGGAACGTTATCCAAAACCAGTTAAAAGGTGTTTAATATCGGTAATATTGAGTCATTTATTTCCACGACCTGAGAATGCAGATACATACTTCCTGTTACGCAAAAACAATTAAACCAAAAAAAAATAATCCAATGCATGCTTTGGCATTTATGGGGCAAAGTGGGTCTGTCTCCATTTGTTTTTGCACTCGATCATTAAATGTAACAGCCCAGATGAGTTAAAACTGTGCTAAAATGGACTCGAGGCTCTGCTAAGCAGGTGTTTCTGTCTTGCTTTGGAAACCCATCGAGGCGGTTGATAAGCATGCAAGTGCAGTGTGTGCTCATGGACCCATCGCAAGGCAAAGTCAGCGTTTATCGTTTCTAGATTTTCGCCGGAGGCCTTACAGTTGCTCTTTTTTTCCCATCTCGCGGACAGAACATGCTGGCTGAGAAGGTGGAGCAGCTGATGGAGTGGAGCTCCAGGCGCTCCGTGGTTCGCATGAATGGAGACAAGTTCAGGAGATTCGTGAAGGCGCCGCCCCGCAACTACTCCGTGGTCGTGATGTTCACCGCCCTCCAGCCTCAGAGGCAGTGCTCAGTGTGCAGGTACAGAGCTTCCGCATTCGCACTGTGCTTTATAATACTGTGTTCAAGGCTAGAAGTTTGTTTGTTATTCTACATATAATAATGCTTCTTATGTCATGAGATTAATGGCAACAGCAGTAGTCCAGTGCAATGGAAGAGAGCTAACACAGATGCAGGTTTTTTTTTTCCCCACATAGAATGTTCTACTGCATTGCTTCTTACAAATCACTGTCTTCCTACTGTGCTGTTGCACGCTGTTCAGTTGCTCTGAAAGTTTTACTTGGTTTAATGAAGTTGGCTTTTTTAATTCCATTTAAAGTAGCCTTGCTAACACATATTCACACGCTGATGTGAAGTCTGAAGTCACTAGGTTCTTGTCTGTGAGGGTGGCATTCCAGATAATGTGCTGTCTTGGTTAACCTACAGCAGGTCTGTTCAATGGAAGGATTCAAGCTTGATCATTTAAAGAGGAAAAAAAAAGTCCCGTGGCTCTTACACATTGTCTGGCAATAGAAAAGAAGATGGACATTTTTTCAAATACAAAATATTTGGTTTGGTAGCTGTTTATCAAATCCGGAAACTTGAAGTCTCTCTTTTTGAAAATGTTGTTCATTTCATCTGTTTAATGTTATTCACGCAGACCACCAAGTCTTAGATTTCATATTTGACCTTCATCCGTAAACCGTAGAAGCACTGTATTGAAACTAAGGATGTTATAGGCAAAATTTATCGTGTGTTTAAATGTGCATGTTTTATTGGATAATTAACTGTAAATTCTGGAGAAATGACACTTCGTCATTTATAAAAAAGCTTTTTAAATGGGTCATCATTTGTGAAGAGGAATGTATTTGCTTTTACGGTATTATGAATATTTAATTATTAGTAACAAAGATTTAATTTGCCTTTGATGTTCTACAGTACCTCGCATGACAGTAAAGACGTAAAGATCTTTACAGCTTGAGCACATTAAAAGCTCACTCTGAAATACTGCACATTAGTTAATGCCAAGGAATTCTGCGGTGAAATTCATTTATTTGCCTAAGTTATACGATTATGTTGTTAGCAATCAGGTGAGATGGATGTTGTGCCATGACCCAGGGTGGCAGGCACACTGGTGTTGTAAATCATGTTGTCTGTTTGGAGGTCTTTGGCTGTTATTAAAATGTGAAGTGTTCCGCTGACAGTTAAGAATTGTCTTTTAAAGGATAAGAGTGGTCCTGAATGTGTTTCTTGTGAGTCCTCATTCAAACACTATCTTCTGCACAAAAGCAGCAAATCATGAAACAAAGCAACTTGTCTAATCTTTATAATGGTCGACACACTCTGTCAGCAATCTTTATTACTCTCTAATAAGGCCTGAAAAGAGATCGTTAGAATATCCATTCCATCATAAAAAAAATATGCTCATAACAGGATGATCAAACAATGCTTTTGCATTTTCATTTATAGATGAATACATAAAGATGATGTTCTGCAGAGATTCAGGAACTCCCGGCACAATGTCATCTAGTTGTAATTTACCTGTACACAGCTGCAGTTCCTAAAGGATGTCATCCAAATTTTGTAGGACCTACCCTAGGTGTTGGTAGGTGGTATACAGTATGTTACAGTTGTGAGGCGAGGAAATATATTTAAAATAATGGCCAATGCAGTATTGATGGTTTCCAGAATCTGAGAAAATCATAAGGTTTTATGTCAAAGCTAATTGGATAAATGGATAACATGATTATTTTAATTGTCCTTGACTGACTGTAGAGGCCTGTTGGTTTTGTTTTTTGTTTTCTGAAAATACATTCATTTCTTATCATTTGATTCAAACTTTAGATTAAGATGTAAAAACAAGGGTGTATAAAAACCTTGGAGGCTTTATTAACTTTCTAAACAAATCATCTAGAAAATTGATCATTAATTAATATGTATTAAGCAGTCATTTATGTAAAACGTTACCATTAATCATATACGTTTCTACTGCAATTGTGTTTTTGTGTGCTTCTTGTAGGTACTGCACTTGTACAGTGCTCTGTTTCTAATGCATGTCCTGTCATCTTAAGTAATTTCTGAATGAATTTTCCTGTGCTCATAATAAACAATACCTTATTAATGCAGAACCACCTGACAAAGAACTTGTTACCATCTGGAAAGGGAGATAAATTTAGAGCCGTAAAACTTCACGAGCAGCTTGTTAACTGTGTTTACAAGTGATTTGAGTGGTATTATTCCTGTGCTATTATTAGCTCTTCCTCTTTCATTGTTCTGCCTAAAGCAAACTCTGCCTTTCATCTTCTCTGTCCTAATAACAAGTCATGCTTTAAAATCATCGTCATCTTAATATTTTTTATGCCTTTCGTATTAACACTTACGATTTGGGGACCAGAATTGGGTTCAGAAGCAAATACTGTGTAGTGTCAGCTTACAGCTACTGTAACTTTATTAAATACTTAATGATTTTGAAGGAATTTCAGAAATTGTGCACATAGGAATTATTTTGATTTTTTTTCATGATAACTCTTCTGATTAACAAAAACGGGGGCAAATGCGATAGGATATTTCATCTTATACACTCCAGTGTTGTGCATTATTTTGTGTTTGTGTTAACTTCAGTGCGGAGGTTTGTGTGAAGTGCACTGACACTTTCCATTAAGAGAAAGCTCTGAAAATGTGTGGTCCTCTGTCTTCTGTGTTGATGCTTTCCTTTTGCAGGGAGTGTTGCCCTTGGGACACAGTTCAGTATCTCCCCACTTCATTTGGTGGGTGAATTTGTTGATTCGTTTTTTTTTTAAGTTCTTCATACATAAAAAAAACTCACACACGATGATATGGAAGATGTGCTGCATGGACTGATCAACACTCTACCAGAGATTGAGGCTATTGGCTTTATCTCTCCTGCCTGTTATATTATCTCATTGTCATTGGCATTGCACCTACCTCTCCTAGTGTGGTTAACTGGGCATCATGCAAGCATACAGTGACCTTGACAGGACATGTGCCGTACTCAAGTCAGTAAATATGGGGATACTAGCTTTGTATGGAATTCCTTTTCAGGCACACACTATACTGATATGAAAGCCTGGTCTTTGTTCCTACATGTTAATAGCTGTAATATTATTCTTTACGAGTGCTTTAGGCATGACTAAGTGACCCTAGAGTGCACTTTGGGCAATGTAGAATACTGCTACTACTACTTCATGAACAAAAATGAAAATGCAAGCAGTTCTGAAGGATACAGTGACTGTAGACTGTGTGACTGTAGGCAGACAAATGTGATATTAACATATTATGTGTCGCAAATAGTTCAGGATATCATCTGCTTAATTGGTTGTTTTTCAGTCTGCCATTGGTTTCTGTGAGAAGAGTCTCTAAAAGCTGGCTGCCTTCTTATTATTTCTGAAAGTTGAGTGGTATACAAGCCACCCTTCTTCCCCTGCACTGCTCTGTTACCAACTCTGAATACTGATGATCTTTTCTATCTCTTTCGTTTTGCTGCTTTCTTTAAAACAGACAGGCTAATGAAGAATACCAGGTGCTCGCTAACTCCTGGCGCTATTCGTCCGCCTTTTCTAACAAACTCTTCTTCACTGTGGTGGACTACGATGAGGGGGCGGATGTGTTCCAGCAGGTAATTCAGTCTGTCACTCCACACACGGGCTTTCCTCTGGGCTAATTAACATGTCCAGGGGCTCTGTCAAATGACGGCTTCCCTGAAAGAACAGATGCTAAAAGCACAGGCGTTGTTTGTGATCTGTTTTTGTCGCTTGTTACGAAACACCCATTTCACTTGTCTGCGTTTAGTTTTCAGCTCCCGCACAGACAGTTTCCTGGTGAATTAGCACAGTGAGGGTTTTATTCTGAGGACACCTATTAGCAGATTGCATAGAGTTTCAAGGATCCATGCATGGTCGTTCTGTTACACTGTGCTTCTTAAGTACTTAGAGCAGAATCATACAGAATATAACACCCTTAAATAGCGTAATTCAGGTTTTAATAAGCTGCACAGATCTCTGTACAAAAGCACTAGGAGAAAGGGAATTCAGTTCCAGTACAGACTGCTTGCCAGAGGCAAGTTTGTTCAATTTCTCAGCCTTAGACTATGCAGATGTTAAAGATAGTGTAAGTCATTGTCTCTGTAAATCAGAGAAATTGTAGGCTGAACTATCCTTCATAAACAATGGATTTAGAATAGTTGGGAAGCTTGTGCTAACATTATTGTAAGATCACTGACATTATTGACTATTTTGCTTTAAAATATTTTTTATTACTGAAGGAGACAGGTTAAGACACCATAAACAAATGTTTCATAGTGACATTAAAGGTTTACTGACTTACGATCAAGTGTTCTAGTTGTGTGTGTGTTGATTTTGAAACCAAAGACCAGTTGTCATCTTGTTTTTTTTTTCTGCTAAAACAAATTAAATTTTCTGGACTTGCTTGAAAGGTTTGAAAAGCTTGAAAGTCTGTGCCAAGTATTTGAAAATAAACAGATGGGCCTCTGAACTTTTTCATTTTTAACAGGTTTTCTAAATGCCAGTCAGCTAAACATTAGTTTTACTTAACAGGTAATTTCTAATACATGGAAAATTATATTGTCAGGTCAGCTTTGTGGTTTTTGTTTTCTTATGATATGATATAGTTTATTGAAATGTAATCTCTTTTTTAAATAGATAAGTTCTCTGACAACATAAGAGATATGTTTTCTTGTGTTGAAGTAAAGATTACGCTGTTGCAAGAAAAAGAGATGTAGTTAACTGACAAGTGACAGTGCTTGTACAGTAAGTAACGTGCAGTGAAGATGTATTTTAGTCTTATTAGTTACAGCAAATAATTGTTGTAATTATTACTTGGAAAACTGTCGCAATTAAATCTGTGGCATGCCGTTAGCGAGTCCTTTTGACAAAATCCCCGTCACCACATGCAAGAAACTGCCGAAACAAAGAAACCAGCAGCTGTTTGGTATGCACGCTGTTGACTTGACTTAATTAACATTTAACGGCACCATTTCTCTCCTTTGCAGCTTAACATGAACTCAGCCCCCACCTTCATGCATTTCCCTCCGAAAGGGAAGCCCAAGAGAGCTGACACGTTCGACCTCCAGCGAATCGGCTTCGCAGCAGAGCAGCTTGCTAAGTGGATAGCTGACAGGACCGATGTGCAAGTAAGTGACTCAAACATTTCTCCTGCTTTTTTTATTAAGGGGGTGGGGGGGGTGTTTTTAAAACTCTTGGCTCATTTAGTGTTCTGAGTGGAGCTGCATCACGCTCTTCCAATTGCTAGAACTTTAAACTTCTCTGTTTTGGTTTCATTCAAACTCCAAATGAAGAGTGGTCCTGTACTGCCTCACAAAGAGAGTTCTTGAGCACATTTGTCCCCGCTATAACACTTATGATTTGACATTTTGCTTTCATTTAACTTTCATTGAAAACTAAACTGCAATGAATACATCATATTTCAAAACAGACATGGCCTTGATACTGTACATTGCACGTGCTTTAGTTGACCTTTTCGCACAGCTGTGTCTGGGAAAACTCGGACAGCATTAGAATTACCTATCTAGAATGTTTTGGAGGCAATGATGATGCTGTGGAACCCTGTTATAAACACAACAGCATAACAAAAAAGTTCATTCAAGATGAGTAGAGCAACACCAAGCTGATACAGTGAGGCAGTAGCACAAGTGAGTGTCTGTTGACACCGAAAACCAATAGTAGGAAACTCATGGCTTCTGGAGACAATCTTTATAGATGGGACCTTGAAGAAAGACAAGAAAAGAAGTAACTCTCAAGGTGATTGACTCTGCCTGGATAACAAAAGTTTTTTTTTTGTCTACAGATGGTTTTCCTAGCACATGTGCTACTGCTCCTACTGCGTTTACTGCCAGATTAATGACGGCAATAAATGCTCTTTCAATAAAGTGAAATCAAAATATTTATTAAATGTCTTTTCATTGCAGTAAATCCTTTGTGCAAACTGTATGTGCGCGTGTGCTAAAAATGGTTTGCATTATTCTTTAAGGAATGTTTTTAGAAACCCTCATTAGTCCAATACAGGGATTGCAGTGAGACAGAGCCTAACCGGGCAGACAATGGGCACAGAGCAGGATACCAATCCAACACAGGGCAAACACATGCAGGCACTTATTACATCACACACGTCTATACAGAAGGCAACGTAGGCATGCCAGGTCACCTAGGCAGCATTTCTCTGGACTAGAAAGCAAACTGGAGAACCTGGAGGAAACCCACTCGAAACCCACTCACAGACACACAGACACACAGACACACAGACACACAGACACACAGACACACAGACACACAGACACACAGACACACAGACACACAGACACACA